TCTGACTTTGATTGGAGTTGATATCACTCGTGAGAACTCACACCAGGGTTTGCCTGGAGTTCGAGTGTGTGTGTGTGTGCGCATGAACTTGGATACAGCGTGCGGTATTTGTCGATAACACGTCGGCAGCCGCCATGTGTTTCAAGCGGGTCCCAGAAGCGCCCGGTGCCCTCCTAGCAGCCCTGCCCTTTAGCAGCAGGGCCGGGAGTTAGCGCACGCCGTTTGGAGCTCACGGGAAAATTGTGCCAAGCCCAAGAAGGCTGGGTGCTGATTCAGGCGAGGGGCCTTGGAGGTCTGCCACCCGCTTCCAGGAGAAAGCCAGAGAGTCTCGCTGGTGTGAGTCGTACCTAGGTCGTTCCGGGTTTCGAAATTGCGGTGCAAGGCAGAGTCCGCAGCTTTTGTTTACCCCGCCAACATCCGCCAACCTCAAAGCCGGCAGATCTGAACCCTCAAACCTTCAAACCGATGTCGACCCTAAACCCTAAACTTCCTCAACCCTAACATCCAAGAAGCCAGCAGATGAAGTCGCCGTCCCAGCGCGCCCAGTACCGCTGGATCCCCCACCAGACGCGGCCGTCCTTGAGGCTCAGACCTGACGCGGGAGATGAGAAGAGTTTTGGCTAGTGTAGTATAGCATAATATATGTTTCTACTATAAGAGATTGTAATGTACAACAACATAGTACAATAGGGCGAACCAGCCGAGCCCCAATGCCTGTCGCTACGGTGATTCTCATTAGTGCCGCCTTGGTTTCGCGAGGCTGCTGATTCTGTTAGATAAGGGATAACTAGAAAGTCCAACAATCCGAAAGCAGTTCTCCCAAAGACGGCCGGTGGCCCACCCCAATGCAAACCCTTGTCAGGCGAGGTTTGCGAGAGACCTTTGTCGCGCTTGCAACAAAGAAGTGGGCCTTTGTCCCCTAAGGGGTCGACGCAGAGACCAGCTCTTGCTACGAACTTTGTTGCACAGGGGCCGCCCAGGGCCCTTTCCAGGCTCTAACACTTTGAGCAATACCCAAAATATCCCAAAATCGAGTACTGAAATGCAACGTGGCAGCATCCAAAACAAAGCAGTAGCAAGAACCGTCCAGATCAGCTCTAGTAACAGATGTTGAGGGCACATACCAGTATACCTACCAATGGATGTGGTATTCTCTTCCTGAAGAAACCCAAGCATCAAGCTATCGCACAAACCTAGAACCTTAACCCGGTACGATCCAGTCACAATAGTTGGCCCGCACCGGTCTGCCAGCAGTGTCATAGGAGTACTTTTCCACGATGTAGTGGCCCTGGAAAAACACAGGGTGCCTTTAAGGCTACTATGACGCTACTATACGGGCTACTTTAAGGGTACGGTAAACTGGTGCCACAATGCTATAAGGGTTACTTTCAAGGTAATGTAATGGTTACGAAAATGCCGTCAGGGTTACTTCCAAGCCATTGTAACGGTTACTATACTAAGCTACGGGCTTTTCCGGGCAATGTAGCGGTTGATACGAAAGGGTTGCTACAAGGGAACTATCAGGTTGCAATAAGGGTTACTATAAGGGTTGCTACACGGGGTCATTCCACTTTTTTGGGAGCTCGAGGTTTCGAAGTTTCCTTGATGTTAGGAAGGTTTGAGGGTGTGAGTTCGGGCTCTGAGCTTGGTAAACCCTAAACCCTAACCTCCAAAGGCCTGAAACCAAAACACCCCGTCCTGCGAGCGCCAGGGAGCCGAGGTCTGCAGAATGCGGTAGATGCATCCAGCGCGATCTTGCCAGGTGCCCTCGAAGAATTTCATCTGCGATCCTGGAAAGAAGCCCAGAGTTAAGGGACTCTTGGGGGGGTACATTGTAGTATCATTAGTATCATTATAGGGGCATGACTACTAATGTTCTGACATCCATCTTGGGGTTGAGGGTGTAGGGTTTCGGGGCTTTTTTGAGGCTTCGCCAATCCAGGGCTTCGGGTTCGCTGTTTGACAGTCGTTGGGTTTTCCAACCATCGCGCTTACCGACTTGTCGTTCCCAGGCAAGAATCCAATCAATGGCAACCCTAAACCCTAAAACCTTAAACCCTAAGCCCTCAACTCTAAACCGTGGTCTTGTCGCTGCACCGGGCCCACGAAGCTTTTGAGTTTACACACTACGCCAAACTTCGGACCGTCTCGCATGCTGCTGCGATACACCCTGCCCTGCAAGAGTTCTTCGAGTCTGATGACGATCTTCTTCTTCCGCATGTCTAGAGAATAAATACAAACTTTAGTACCCGTGTGTGTTTATCATGTTGCGGTGTTTCACTCGTTCAGGTTGGGCCATTCTCGGGCCAGCGCATCGAAGATGTTGACAGAGCCAACCCGCACCGGCTCAAGACACACAAACGCAACCCTGCATCCAAATCTAAAGCCAGGCCAGGCCATCCAAATCCGAAACCCACTCGGAAATCCAACAAGTTGGATTTTGAGCGCTAGATGCCGCTAGATCCTAAACCCAAAATCCTGAACGTCAATCCTCCGACAACCCTGCACCCAAGCCTACCCTATGTCTCCGGCCTGGGAGTTCGCTCTCCTCGTCTTCCTCCTCCTTCTCCTCCTTACCTGGCGTAAGTGCCCAGAGAGCCCAAGACCCGCCCAATAATGCGAAAGCTCCAGTGCGCGACAGGGCGCATGACGTCTCATGATACTCGTATGGCAAGCAGGTGTCTAGTGTAGGTAGATAGGCTATATCCCTGACAGTGTAGGGGGACCTAGATATGGTTCAAGGTAGTAAGCTGCTTAAACTTTTGGTATTGGGCCGAGGGTACTAAGATTTCAGTGGTCTGAGGAAATAGGGTTGTATAGCACGAGCGTTTACTGTTGTGCCTAGCTGTCTGAGCGCATACGTACATGCATACACGCATGCAGACAAACATGCATACAAATGTACTTCCGTCCGTCCATACGTCCGTCCATCCCTCCATACATATGTTTGTGTATATACCTGTATGTACGTATAGTTTGTGACTAGATAGATAGACAGATAGATAGACAGATAGATGGATAGATAGACAGATAGATAGATATGCATGCATCGACACCATCGACTTTGCAAAGGGTTGATAGAGTTTCAGGGGGCTTAGTATGTTGTGTGAAAGCAAGAAAGCTTTAGCGCAGCTCCGAGCAAGATGATGATAATCGTGGTACGACTTATAACTACCCATAGACCTGCGTGCAGTGACTCAGGAGGCGCAGGAATTGACTGGGAGTGTAGGGTCTCTTGGAGTCTCGAAGTAGTTCCGGAGTTGACCCCAAACCCGAAACCTGCAAATCGGCAAAAGACTTTTCGATTCGTCTCCAACCTAACTCGAACAGCTCTAAAACCTGGAACCTCACAGCAAATCCGAGAACCTCTGCTGAAACCGACTTCGAGCTTGAGGATTTGGGGCTCTGAGCCCTAGAGATGTGTGACGGAAGAAGGGTTGGAGGCTCAAGGATTCAGGGCTCCAGGCTTAGGATGTGGGGTGCTTAGGTCTCCTGGGCCCCACGGCTTCGGACCCGGGTTAGGAGCTCTAGGCCTCTGATACTCAAGGTCGTAGGCTTCTATACTTATGTCTTTGGTGTGGGGCCTTCAGTGGTGGCGAAGCGACTTGTGGCTCCTTGTGCCGCCGGCGTGGCTGGGACGGAGAAGTGGGCGCCTCGAACACCGAGAGGCTCTGGAAGCGAATAGCACGGAGTTTTAGGGATTCCATTCGAATTCGCATTTATTTGCAAAGAAGTTGGGGTTTAAGATCTACGGTTTCGGTCTGCCGTACAGGCGTCCGGGCAAGTAGAGGGCAAAACAAGAAGACCCTTCGCGCGGCCAGGAGTTCTTCTGTTACGGCACGAGGGGTTGTGCTCCAAGGCAAAGCCGAGCAGCACCAACGTATCTAGTTACAAATTTACACCCTTGAGTTTGCCACATGCTTCGCCTCAATATCTCTCAGAACGAAATATACGAAGTGCAACTTGCTTCAGTTTTCGATGAGTGCATGTTTTGGGGTTTTGGGGTCTTAGAAGCTAAGGAACCCTACTTCGTGTTAAACCGTTCTCGGTGCAAACAGGCTTGGCCACCTACACTCCCGCGCGGCGATGGTGATGGTGATCCGGCCACAGAGCCAGATGAGCCTCAGAAGCTCAAAGACTGAAACTCTGAGACCGAAGACTTTGAAGTTAGGAGAGCTTCTTGGTCCACGAGGTTTAGGGTTGTTCTACATTTTTGTTTGTCAAATCAAGGCTTTACCACTTGTAAGACACACAAGCCACGACCGCTGGACTGCTGGGACCGCAGGGCTCACATGTTCGTGGACAGGTATTTCCTGCCTCAAGATGGTCAGAACAAACAAACATATGCCTTCCCAATGAAGGACTCGGCACCGCAAACAGTGTGTACTTCCTGAGTAACAAAGAATGGTATGACGTGCCAAGCTAGTATCAGCAGCAAGTTTTAAACTGTGGTAAACACACCACAACCCTACAACGGTAAGTAATAGCTTACTCCGAATCGGTATCTACATGTCGAAACCTGGTATCGGCTCCGATTCTCAAGCCTGTTATGCCAGCACGGAGAACCCAGCGACAACAAGGGTATAGTGTTTAGGATTTTGGGTCTAAAGTTGTTTAGGGTTTAAGGGACAACCCAGGCAGCAGAGCTTTGCACAAAGCAGGTTCGGGAGTTGGGAAATCCTGGAAATAGCGGACAAATAGCGGACCACAATGTGGAACCCTAGATCATGGCGGCATCCGTCTTTTACGGATCTCCTACATAGCGTACCTCTATGCCCTATGCCCTATGCTCTGAAACCTCAATACCGGGCTTGAAGTTTAGAAAGCCAGCCCGCTGCAATTGGTGCTCCTGGGAGCAGCACCTTTCTGTCTTGCATCTTGCGCTGTGCGGCGTCCAGCCCTCTGTACCAGCCTGTTCTGGCCGACTGAGGCTTCCATTCAGAAAGGAAGGTGCATCGCCAGCAATCAACGAGGCCCGGTAAGGCACGCTTCGGCATCTCTCAGTCCAACACAGTACCAATAGTACCCTTCGGGGAGTCTTTTGGGCACCAGCGGTAGTGGAAGTATTGGTCGACCGAGAAGGGCTTGCGATTGTGGGGCTCCTGGAAGTCATTGCAAATCCAACGGGACGTCCAGCAACATCGAGCCTTGTAACTGGCGTGATGCTTATGGAACCAGAACGGACGGTCTGGTCTCAGCAACTTGTACTCTGCACACTCCGACTCTTGGCTTAAGGTTGCATTTTCTGGCTCGGTCTCAAGGGATTCCATGAAAGCAAGGCAGCAGCATTCGTCGCCACGAGCTTCTTCTTCCGCCACATGCTGGTCAACGGACTCTCGAAGGCCATCAACGGGCACTCCGAACATGAGGGCCAGGCACCCCGCAAAGATCACCTTGGTCGTGATGCCCATGGATGCGAAATTTCACAGAACTACGCGGCAACGTAAGTAGCAGAATCTGCACACAAGCTTGACGCAAACGGCTACGGAAGAAGCCACTGCTGGTGGCGGTGGTGGTGGTGGTGGTGGTGCCTGACTGGACGTCATGTAGCCACTGCCGCCAGTGGGTGGATCACGGAAAACCGCGCCTGGCATCCACGGTACTGTGACTGGATCGTTCGTGGAGGTTTTGGCTTCAGGGCCTAGATAGGGATTGGAGAAATTGGGTGAATCTTGGCTTTGGTCTTTCAGGTGAAAACGGCTCCAGAAATTTGCGTTTGCAAGGCCGAGTGACCTTTGCCCACTCGCTTGCACGGATCGCCCTTGCCAACCCGGTCGCCTCAGGTGGGATTTCGGGACATTGCAACTGAAGGCATCCTGATCAGCCTGGGACTCGTGGCTTCCATGTGAGACAGGGGGTCTCTTCTGCATAGCCCAGGACTGTGTGCAACCTGCCCGTGGATACTCTGGAGACTGCAATGAGCCAGAACGGATGATGTCCTTCATCGTCATCCTGAATAGGTCCTCATCATCGTCGTCATCACCATCACCATCACCATCACCATCACCATCACCATCACCATCACCACCATAAGCATTAACATCATCATCGTCATCATCATCGTCACCATCATCAGTATTTCATCATCTCACCATCATCGTCGTCATCGCCTATCTATTAATATTCGTCTTCGTTGTCATGGTCATCGTCGTCGTCATCATCGTCATTAATAATGATGGTGATGCCTATGAAATAGGTCATCACGATCACTCATCGCTGTCATCATCATCATCATCATCGTCATCATCATCGTCATCATCACCACCGTCATTGTCTTCATCACCGGTCATAATGTCTATGTGTCTTCCGCCGAGGGGCCTTTTCCGCCCGGCCCGCGTGCACCCGCATTGACAACCTGATCGCCTCCCAGGGCTTTGGTGGTAGCTTCAGGTACACTTGTTTCTCCTTTGTGGAAGGCCACCGTCCCAGGTGCTTTGGGATGGCTGAAAGGAGGGAAGGCATCTTCTCGAACTCGTCAGTGGTAATGTCGAGGCTTCAATGCTGGTGCTGAAGATGCTCTTCGCACTCACCGCATCACCACCCCACAATCATCATGATCATGACCATGACCGTCGTCATCGTTGTGTGCATCACCGCCAGATCAGCACGGACCGGCCTCCCGAACGACGTGGAAGGACAACTCGCGGGGAATCACCTCGGTTACAGAAAAGAAATACCGAGTCATAGTAGAATAGGGTCTTCCGGCATTCTTGATCTCACAGCAGAAGGCTCTCATGGCGTTCATGCTTCGGTCTGCTTACGTAACGTACTTGGCTCTGGAAGTCGTTCCACCAGGGCTGCAATGCAAGGACGAGCCAACGCTGTGAGAGATGTTGCTTGATGGAGAACCGTTTTGTCGCAAAGGATTCGCCATACATAGCCCATGTGCAGTTTGCACAGAGCTCACCATGCTCAGAGAAGTTGCAGGAACTCCAAGGAGCTCTCTAGCGGATGGTTTATAAGATGGAAACTGCACGTTTTTCTGTTTCATCATCTGCTTCATCGTCTTGACTATGTTTGCTTACGTGTTCTTCTGATCAGAGGAATCTCCAGCAGCTGGAGCCAGGTAGAACATCTGAAATCTTTGATCTCCTGGCTTCGACTTCACAGTCGGTCTCAACACTTCGTAGGAACCTCACAGAAGCGTCGGCCAAACTGACGGGCGAATTACGCCCTACCTAAACCACCAAAGCAACCCCAAACCCTACACCCCGAAACCCTGAACCCAAATGAACCCTGAACCCTAATCAAATCTTAACCCTCAAGAGGCGACAGAGAGGTCGGCCAAGCAGCGCGGAGGGAAGAAGCCAGGCTGTGCACCGTCCACCGTTGAGGAGGCTTCGATCTCAACTTTGGGCTTCTGTTTGGTGAGTTCACGACTTTTGGGTTCAAATTTGAGTGTCAAGTTTGGGTTTCAGGGTTCATGGTTGGGGCTGAGGCTGCATCTTCCGAAGATTTGTAATTCCTAAACCCTAGGTGCGCTGGTGCGCTATGTGGTCGGATCATATGGATCCTGCGTGACATACAGACACCAGCCGTTACTAGGGGCTTCGGCCAGTTCGACCTGCATGTGAATCCCGTCTTTTTCACCTTCCAACGAACTCCAAGAAACTCTGAAGAAAGAACGAGATGCGAACCTTAAGACTCAGGGTATAAGGTTCAATGATTTTGGGTCAGAGGACCTTCCATCCTCATCATCCCGTGTCCAAATCCGGAGGAAAGTTAGACCTCATTCACTGCTCCCACAACCCTCCAGCTTGGCATGGCTATTGCGTATAACACTGTCTCATTTTTTCATGGTCCAGCTGCAGGGATTGTCTGTTCTACTCCAGCAGCATACGCCGTTTGTGCAGTTCTAGCCAGGTTTTTTATCCTACATACAAAATCAGCATGAACACTAAGTCCGCCCAAAGCTGAGATTTCAGGGAAAATGATTTTCATGTTGAAAATCACGGCAGGTCACGAACTTCGCCTGGATGCCTTTCGGCATGTCCTCGAACCTGTGCACGTACACGTGCACCCTCCTTGAAGGAAAGACTGCTGCTTTTTTCCAGCGGGCTACTTTAGGTTTGGTGCCGGGGAGGAGAGGTAATGAGATGCTTCGCGGACTGTATGCATGTATCGGAAGCTCAGCAGGTTAGGCTTCGGGTTCGGGTTTTCTCTCGGGTCTGGTTTTCAGGAGGCATCGGGAGGCCTGCTTGCATCTCTCGAAACTTTAGCCACGAAGCAGAACAGGCGACAAGTGTGCACCCTTGTACAACCCCGCTTGGCTTCGACGTGCCGGTGCAAGACTGCACTTGCCTCTGCCAAATTGTGGACGATCATGCAAGACCAGCTGGTCTGACATGATGCTGAGCAACACATTGCCGTAACAGCCGCTGACATCACGGTATCGTGTTTCTTGCTATGCAGTTTTGTTTCTTACTATACAGTTTTGCTTGGCCTTCTTTCTGCCCTGCAACAATCGCATTGCCTGCTACCACGGAGCAACCGTCTATCCTACCTAGTGCATCATGCGACCAACCAATCCAAGAATCAGGCTATCGGCAGTGTTCTCGTCGCCCACCTCCATGCGATGAGATGGATGACCGAGAAATCTTTCCACATGCGCAACCATTGAAGAAAGGAAACCTCTACCAACGGCTCCAGTTGCTGATTTAGCTTCTGTCAGGGAAATGTGGAGCAGCCTCTGCCTCGTCGAGGCTGTGACGAAATATCGGGGTGCAGGAAAATGGGAAAACCAGAGCGTGCAACGACCGCTCCCGCCTCCCTCAGGTTCCTCATGTACTGCTTCAGCCTCAGCTGCAGCGACCGCCAGATTGCACTCGGCTTCGGGTGAAGTTTTGAACCCAAGCAGAAGGCTACTTTTTGGAAGTCTAAACCCCAAAACAAAAAGCACATTTGCGAATTTGTCACTAGGCTGGAGCAGTCAGCAATCACAGTAGTGCTTGCGCGAAGTCATACATGCGCTCTATGGTCACTACAAACAAGCCCTCGGCAGAGGGCAAAAAATGCAAGACGAAACCCATGCTCTGAAAGCGCCGAATGTGAATAGATCTCTCAAGCTACCTCTAGTCTAAACCCACAGGCTTCTGCACCGTAACTCCTAAGCCCCACACACAGAACTCATGCCCATGACCAGGCGGCACTGTCAAGCGGCGATTTCCGCACATCACGTGCAGCTTGCCGTCTTGCTGAACGCCTTCGGCCGGTGTGGTCGATGTAGGCGAATGGAACCCGTGTAAGGCTTAACTCTAATAGAAGGTAGGTGGTCTCAGTAGGACTGGGGCAGTGGAGCCGCTTGACCTCGCAAATTACATCTCAAGAACTCCGCGCTCTCACACACAAATCAATGGTCGGGTTACTACACAACTGATCACCGTAGTATTGGACTATGCTGAGAAGCCATGGAGTCCATGTAGCTTGATGAGTACATCATCCATGAAGCTCAAACTTTCAAACCCTGAGCAAAGCCTTGGCCATAAGCTCAGCCTCTCAACACCAGCACGAGAATCCTTGTAGCCTCAACGCCCAAGTTCTATGAACCTCAACCCCTAAAACCTCCACCTGAGTCTACGCCTAAAGCCCACGAAAGCCCAGGACACGATCCGGCCTACGAGGGCCGTGAGGTGCTGGGCTTCCAGGATGCCTCCCTCCAGATCGGAGAGCAAACGCTGCAGGGGCTGTCCTTTGTGAGGCCCATTCCTGCGGCTTGCTTGGGTTTCTGGGGCCCGTCCTTACGGTCTGTTGGATGCACTTCAGGGTTCAACGACCACGACGGCCGAGATCATGAAGCGGACGGAAGAGACCGTGCACAGAACATTCCAGAATCGTTTCAAAAGTTTGACAGCAGCCACTGCGAGGTACTATTCTGAACATATTCGCTGCACATTTGCAGCAGCATGGCCACCAATCGATTATTAGACTAAAAATTGAAGACCTGTTGCTAACCCAAAGGCAGGATCTCCAACAGATTAGCCGAACCAATGCAATCATGTGGGAGCAAAACTGCCTAGCGTAGATATATTGCGACTCTACTGACTCTACTGATCTACAACATCAGGCAGCTTCGGGTAACCTCATTTTCACAAACTGCGTGCATTCCAAAGTACGATTCGCCACCTAGAATCCTAGAACCTAAAGCCGCTCAGAAATCTGTGAATGCTCGGGCAGACATCCTGCAGCGTCAGATCAATCCTACGGTTTTCATACGCCCCGGAGTATGTAGAGCCATCCGTCCGCACAAGGGGCTGTCCTCCTGTTTCTGCGCATGGACTAAACATGCCAGCTCGGTTCTTCCATCAGCTCAGAACAAAGAGCAACACTAGACAATAGTTCAAAGGGGGATTTTCACGGCCTCATCGGCGAGGAAAGACGCCCTTGAGATGGTTCTGCTTCGCTTTTTTGAGGCACCCGGACAACTCTTGTGTGGCAAGATTTACATGACCACGCGGAGGATCCGACGGGCCAAATACTGCCGCCATGCATCGCGCGTCCCAGGAGGACCGGGCCCGAGCGGGAACTCTGTAAATAATGGGAAGTGTCATGAGCCCCAAAACATGCGCCGCACCGCATCGGGAACCACAAAATTTCCAGGTCCAGGTGTGCCCAACCTTTAAACGATTTACCGCCTTGCTTGGGGAATACATGTAGAGAGACAGAGAGAGATGGGCAGAGACATTCCTTAAGTCTGCATGAACGACTCTGACTGCATTGGCCGGAACGTCCGGTTTCGAACCGTCCTGAAGTGCTGCCTTCAGCCTCAGCTTCACATGCACTGCATTTATGGGGAAGGTAGAAATCCGGGCAGTCCTGAAAACCTTGGAGACCTGATGGTGGGTGAAGATGAGCCTGTCCGGCGACTCCAGCCGCAGCAAGTGCCCCCACTTTTTGAAGACCTTGTCCGCGTTATGGTACGACGGATCCCAATCCTCGACAGACACTTGCGCAACCAAGGACTCACTTGGCCCTCCACAGTGGAAATTCCCTAAACCCTCCCCTGCATCTGAGAACCCAGGACTAATACTGTATTGTATTGACTTGTTTTGAAATGTATTGTGTTGTACTCTACTCCAGTATATTGTTTTGCAGTAGACCTGTAGTATACTGTACTGTATTGTGTGGTATTGTGCTTGATTGAGGTATACCGTATCAAATTGCATTGTTTGCATTGTACTGCGTTACATTGCACCTTCGTATGTTCTATTGAACTTGTGTTACCTTGTATCATATTATATCATGTTGCATTTTCTGGTAGTGTACTGTATGTTGCAGTATTGCATCGCACATAATATTGTAATGTCTCGTGTTACACTATGTATTTGTATTATATATATACACACACATATATATATATGTGTATGTACACATGTATATGTGCACACACCTTTTCATACTCTGTCATAATATAAGGTGTCATGTGTCATTTGCGATACTACACGATATCATATTTTACCACACGCAATCATGATATATCGTACTGTGTCATATTGCATGACACTATATACCAGTATTTTATGACCCTAAGCTATATTACACTATAGTATAGTAACTTATAGTATATGACATTCTGTTCTGCTATGCTGTGTTATCTCGGTATTGTGTTATAATATGACATATCATAATAGGGTCCGGTGCAGCAGAGGACATCATATTACAGTACTGAATTAGTACATTAACGTCCATTACATTACATCACATTACATTATCTACTATAGTGTACCATATTACGATATACTCTACTGTATGTTGGTGTAATATACCATATATCGTGTTGCACTCCATTCTATCCTATTCTCTCCTATTCGAACATAACTCACGTCATACTGCACCTGCCTTCTATGATACTATACCAGATTGTGATGTTTTGTATTGTATTATGACATGCTACGTTATACAATGTTTGTTATATTATCCTACAATTTGCTGCAATGCGGCATGTCATGCTACAATGCATCAAACTATACCGAATCATACCACGCTTTGTCACACCATATTGTTCAAGTTGTACTCCCGTGGCGTTGCATGGTACTATATCATGACAGACTATGTAATGGTTTCATCATGTTACATTATGCGATGTGCTGTTGTATTGAATGAATTCCATTCGATGTCATTGTGCGACGACGTGTTAAGCCGTCATATGACATGTTACCTTAAGTGTGTGGTGCGATCTGGTATGATATTTACAAGATACCATGTGTTAGCATATTAGCCTGTATCGTCTCGCATAATATCATCTTGTCTAAATGGAATGGAGCCTGATGAACTGAATTGTCTGATGCACCGTTCTTCACACTTCACACGGAGTACATCCAGATGCATATAAATAAATAAATAAACCAAATATATATATATATGTATATATATGTATGTATGTATGTATGTATGTAGACCTACATATATATGCATGCATGCTCAGAAAGCCGCTCTCCTTCTGGCGTTCGGCATACACAATCTGCATAATTATTCCACTACGCTGTATGAGAGTAACCACAATTCCTGCAAGTGTTCTGGAACATGTGCAGACAAAGGCGCATTGGCGCTCCTCTGCGCCTCCCTCAGCAGATATATCTGGCGTGCACAACACCTCTCCGGTGAAGCCCTGATCAAGGGCGGCATGGAGAGGTTAGCAACACTGAACGCCAGTAGAAATTTGGGAGCTATTGCTTTTGGAACCAGCAATGAAACTCACAGCTTAGGTTCAGGACTTCGGGCTTTTCAAGGGGTTTGGGTGAGGGTGGAGGGCTGTCCTGATGGCCTTTTGATCCTTTTGGTCCTGAAGTCCCAACGCACCGCATCCACACATTTCCATGGGCTCTCCAGCTCGGGCATTGTCGTTCAGAAATTTACCGTCCTCAACCTCCTCTGAAGTGCTACCAGCTTCCTGGAACCTGATCCCCAAGCCTCCCTTAAGGGGCCCAGGGTTGAAGGAATTGGGTGTTGGGTCTTGATGCTCCCGGGATTTTTTATGGCCGAGTCTTCGGGTTTGGGGCCTCAAAGCACTCGATTTCATCGGAAGGCTCTTTTCGCGCTCCACCCCGTAACCTTCGAGTTCCCCAAGCAAATTCCAAATTCTAAACTTCTCCGGGCCAACGAGAACAGGTACCCAAAACACACCGACTTGATAAGGCACGACTCCCTGGAACTCGAAACTCTTTCAACCCTTCAGCCTATAAACACCATCCCTGGCCCTTCCCCCGTCCGGTCCTCCTTCGACGCTTGCTGGATGCATCAGCCGAGAGCTCGTCGTCGCCGTACATCCGAAGACTGAACAAAGGTTTACGGCTCTGTAGGACCATCGGGCTTCCGGGAGTTCGGGTTAGCATCGATGAAGTCAAAACCCTTTCCTTGAAGGATCAAACCCTAGACCCTAAACGGCCCTAAACTAGGGGACTTCGACAGCTCCTAAGACGTTGGTGGTTCATACGTAGGGCCATCGGAGCTGCCCTGCTTACAAGCCCCCATACGCGAAACCCGGCGACCCTCCAAAGCAGGACTTTGGAGTCTAAGGCTTCAGGGTCCTAGGTTCACGGACCCGGGGATCTTGAGGAGATCCGGTTGTGCCCAAGGAGGCTTTAGTGAAGGACTCCCGGAAAGCGAGGAAGCCCGGGTACGCAGACCCGGCTGCCCCAAGGCCGGGGACAGCAAAGTCCTATAGTTCGGGCTGAGGATCTAGGGCTCAAGAGCCTTTAGGGCTTAGCCAAGGCAAGGTGCAACTTCACCTGTGGGCCAAAAAGGTCTGTGACGAAAGCAATGAAGCTAGAACCTCCATACACAAGGTAGTGGCCCCAGGTCGTCTGGCACTTACTCGGTTTGAACTGGAGATTTCAGGCCGCCCTAAGCAACACACCAAGGCGGTGTTCCCAAGACTTCAGCCCCTCAAAGCTCCAGGTTTTCAAGGGAACTGCCAACCAAGTTCGAGAATCATGTACGTAAGGCCGTAACCGTATGCCGCACATAGCAAGCCCCGAAGGACTACTGTATACCCTGTACCGCAACATCATCCCCTAGTGCTAACTCCCTTTACTTAAATCCCTCGAATCTCTTGAATCCCAAACCTTCAACTCCTCACTCTCTTAGTTCCGAAGCCACCACTGCAAGACAAGCTTCCGCTTTCTCGCCTTGAGGATGACCCTGCAATGCACTGTGCACGCTTCTCCAGCGAAGCTTCTTGATGAAGGCTCAGAACTGAAACTACCCATAGGCCCCTAAGTAGTTCCTTCTTATGGTTTATATTTAGAATCCTATAAGGGAATCCCAAAAAGGAACTACTTAGGGGCCTATGGGTAGCTGTTATCATTCTCATGATCATCAACACTTCTCTACTCATTCTACTCTGCTATGATCATGAAGCTGAATAATGAGGATTAAGAGAGTGTGATTCCATAGAATAGCATGATTGCCATCGATGCCTCTTCTTGTTACCACATATATTACAAACATACACCCACAAAGACCAATAAAGACCCGTACTTGCAAAGAGTGTTGCTTGACGCCTACACAGTAGAGTAGCGATAAATCGAACGCCGCAGTACAGGTATCGTACGGGTTACATTATACTACGTTATATCGTATGGTATATCATTTAAAACTTTGCATGCATTTAAACTGTACCAAATTATAGTTCACTGTATCATTTGGTGGTATAAGCCCCGGCAAGACGACTGAGCTTAGGAGGGAACTCCTGGCGCTGATGGACTACGTGGGGGGTCCTGCTGAAACTCGAACCATCGAGCAAATCTCTGAAACCCCAGCCGGTCCAGGGTTTAGGTTTTAGGGTTCAGGGTTTTACCTAAATTACTAAATTACGTCAGACTTGCCGGGCAAATGGATGACTGACAGCTGCACAATAACTTGAGGTGCTGGGCTTTAGACTTACATATTTCTGGGTTTATCACGGCATAGCCACTAAGCCGGAGTCGGAACTCACACGGAGCTGGATTAAGTTGCCGAAAGGCACATCCTGCATCCAGTCGAAGGTGAACCCTGAACCTCCCCAAACCAAAAAGCCTGAGCATCGAGCGGTTTACGGGCTATTGTGTCTCGTGGCAGTCGCGTGTACGCTAACAATCTGGACTGTCAGGAAGGCAGCGTGGAGTGTCCGAGTTGAAACATTCTGATTTCGTGGGAACCCTGCTGTGTGGGTAAGCTAGATGATACTTGCAGGCTGTCATTGGCCATCATATTTAAGATATCACTGCTTGCTACTTGACGACTGCTCGTCGCTCGGAGTGGAGAGTTGGTTAGGTGTGCCACAAGTCAACGCTTTCCTGTGCAAGACCCCAAGACTCAATCGAGAAGACCTGAACCGGCAAAACATAGCATAGTTTACCTTGTTGCTACTTGTACCATAATTGTTAGACCGACTACTACTGTTATTTATAGTTTCTTTGCTATCACTATTATCATTATGACTGTTAAAACATGCAACATTTCTCTCTGAAGCCCTCCCCTATCATTCGCTCACATCCTTTAGCCTTGGGCTGAACAAGACCCTCAAACCAAACCCGAAATCGTAGAACCCGAAATCCCCAAACCACAAAAAACCCAGATCCTGAATCCGAACCCCAGTCTGTGAACACCCAGCGGCACCTTCTGGACAGCTGGGGCTCGAGCCTGTTTCGAACGCAGCATTGAAATCTCAAGTTTCAGGGGGGATTAGGGCTTACGGTCTGCGGTTTGGGGATAAGGGTTTGGGGTGTTGCTTGTGCTTTAAAGTCTAAGGCTTGGCTTATTTTGGCTTTGAGGTCTTAGCTTTGGGGTTTCGGGCCCGGCAATGGGAGGGGCTTGAGTGATACCTGCAAAATACAGCAGTACATCGTCCACGGATCCAGCCCATCTGACACCATGCAGCACGCCACTCTACACGGGCTTGTGGGTCTTAAGACAGGCGGTTTTTTCACTCGGTAGCAGCAGGGCCAGAACCAATGAACCCGGCCTGCTTCTTCAAGCTCCTGTTCTACTCTACTCTGTTCCAGCTTTCAACTGCTGGGAAACTCTTGGCCCCTAGTAGATGGAGGCTGCAACTCAAAGAGCGGAGACCTTGGGCTCCAGAGCTCCCGGCATCAACAAGAGCCAGCCATCATCCGACATCTTGCCATGCACCTCAAGACTCCTACACATCTCTAAACGCTATGCCCGGAGCCGAACAAAAAAACGCTCAGTTGCATCGCACCAGCTTTGAGCATTGGCCTCTCCATGCCATGGTTTGTAGTAAGAAACAGAAAACGAATAAGTTTTCATCACAAAAACATAATACTAATCGTAACAACGACAGTGCAGTCATACTGGAGAGCAGTACGAGAACTATCATACTGGATCATAAATTGAGACCAGCGCTGGCCCCAATAAACCTCAACCGGCATGTGCAAGTTGACTTCGAAATTGGACCACCCGGCTGCATGCTACTGAACTCTCATGCTGGCAATCCGAATGTCAAGTGCCAAGTCTTTCCAACCCGTGCAGGCCTGCTGCGAATGTGGTCCGGAATCTCCTCCTGGCGCTGCTTTGAACAGTTCAACGATCTAAGAGAAGCCCGGGCTGTCTTCGAACCAGAATGCCGCGAAAAGGTCTCTGCAGTGGCAGAAGGCTGTCTGATCCGCAGGATCCTTTAGAAGACATGGAGATCTGATGAAATGCATCGGTGAGGGTAAGCTCGCAACAAAACCTGCTTGGCAAGCCCTGAATGAATGCTTCCTTCAGCCCAAGTCTAAGCTGTACAGCCCAGATTCCCACCGCTCTCAAACAGACGGCCTCACCCTCCACAACGAGCTGAAGCTCGTGTGAGTCTCGTGTCCTTCACTGGAACCGTCGGTGGATCTGTCTCGCCCTCGGTTTTGAGCGCTTGCTGCTTCGCTTGCTTCAGCTTCTCCATGATCTCCTGGAGGCTGCTTGCCGACCTCTGCTTGTCCTGCCAAAAGACGAGGGTCTCGGAGTCTAGGGAGTCGAGGGTGTCGGGTGGAGTGGATTGCATAGGTTTCAGGCTGAGGTTACGGTGCGGGCTCGGTTCTAAGTCGGACTATGAAGCCTGGTGGTACTCAGATTGTAGTCAACCTTGTCTTCCTCTTGCTGCCTGCGCCCCGTTTTGTCTGTTCATCTCCGAAATCGTTTCCTCTATTAGCGACCTGACGGGGAAGGCTACCCGGCCTTCATGGCGAGGTCGTAAGCCTGTTGCGCGACTCTGACCAGGAGGTCCTGCGTCTAAATTCCGGATGTCTTGAGTTCAGGATTCGCGAACCGGCTTGGGGTTTAGGATTCATGTGGAAACAGCCATGGGGCTCTCACCCAGGTCGAACCCTAAATCTAAAGACCAAAATAAGTATCTCAGTCCACTGCTCTCGCAAAACCCGACGCCCGATTCTCCGCAGTGCTGGATGACCCGAAGGCCCTTCCCAGCGCCAAAACCCCTCTTCTCCTATGGCCCTAAGCCCTTCGACCTGAAGTCCAAATCAAAGCCCCAAACCCTGAGCCTTGATATTATATTAAGGGCTTAGGGGTTCAGGGTTTAGGGGTTTAGGGGTTTAGGGGTTTAGGGTTTAGGGTTATGATATAGCAGCCATGATTATTAATTTTCAGGGGGAAAATTGGGGCAGTTCGTCATGAAAGCATAAAGGGACCCTTAAGGGGATAGAGTTGCGCTCTCCTGTTGGTTGCCCTCGGCTGCCAGACGGGCGGAGTTCAGCTCTTTCCTTAGATGTCAGGCGACTTGGCTCTCTGTCTGTGAGTCAAGAGCTTTGACGTCAGGGTACAGGTGTAGCTCCATGGCTCCATGTGACAAACATGGGACCCGAGAAGGGATGTTCAAGCTTGAAAATCGAGTTTTGGGGTGAAAAGCCCGGAAAGCAGAGTGGTCTACTTTGAACCAGAAGCCGAAAGTAGCCAAGCCTCAACAGCCAAACCCCGAGACTCCCAAGCCCCTCAAAGCATAGGTAGTCAAAACCTCAATCTCTAAGACACCCGGACAAGAATTGCCACTGGCCCTGCCTGGCCCTGACTCACCCTGACAGGACTTGATTTCGCAAATCAGCAGCACGCCCAAGAGAAGGAGCCCCGAGACAGCAGCCCAAAGCCAGGGAGGACAGCCGCCAAAGCTAGGAGCAGGGGATTTATAGGGGTCCGGTTTAGTGGTCAGCGATCCGTGTCAACTCAAAAGGCGCACCCCCCTAAACCTGCAGAGTCTCTTGTACTGCTCCACCAACTCGTCAGCGACCTCGACGGCCTTCTCTCCAGACGTAACAAAAACAAACGACTGAACACCGGTGTTTGGGCTTGAGACTTGCTTGGCAAGGTGATGTCCCGGTCTAACCTGGAACCCGAAAGAGAGCTGTCTGCAAACGATTTGTCCCTCTAAAGCTCTGCTTTGGAGTCTGATGGCTTAGGAGCGGGCCAATGCTAGGATGCAGGCCTCGCTGTTGTTAGATCAAGCCCTGACCCCCTTTCCCCTTTCCCACCGTATCACAACCGAAACCACGGAGGAGATCTATGGTCCATAGACAGCGGTCAAGATGTCTTTTTTTGGGGGGTCCTGGGGACTGACTGCTGTTGCCCTTTATCATCTGGTACATGGAAAGGTTTGGTATCGTAACAGCATTTTGACTGCGTGGGGTGTTCTGCATCGTTTTTGCCATGGTCGGGCAGTGGATTGTCTCTTTGAGAATGCGCATGACTGCACGTGTTTTTGAAGAGCAGGACAGCTGTAACGTGCAAACTTTTGATCTCGTCTTTGATTCTTTCTTGATTGACGGACACTCTTCCCCGAAGAGCCGTTATTAGAAGGATCCCACGATGCTGATCCTTGCAGAAGCGTGGTCTACTCACTGGCGATCTACGCTGGTGAGCCTACACGCCCTAAACCCTAAACCCCTAAACCCCTAAACGCTTGCAAGGTTCTACCTCGCCCCAGCCTTGAGCGCAGCGGAGGCTTCCTTTTCCAACGCCTCCTGCATCCTCACATTGCACACTGGTGCTATTTCGTACTATATAGGGATATAGGGTTCGATTGAATTGAATGTATCCACATTGCGCTTTGGCTTGGCAGCGGCTTTCCTGAGGTCCGGGGTTTTATAGAGGTTTTCTGGCTTTTACTACGAGTTGACAAGGTTTCAGAGCTACTGGCATGCGCTTTTCGTGGCAACGGGGGCTTACAGGGTTGTGCAAGGTGTGCCAAGAGACACACACCCACACACAACGCCAGCGGATCCTGGAGCCAGAGCCGTCTCAAGAGCCCACTGCCCAAACGGAAAGGACTCCCTCAGGCTCTGGTCTTGGGGCTTCAGGGTGCTGGGGCGCTTGCATAAAGCTTGGAGTGCAGGTAAGGGACTCTTCTGTCGGCGCAGGCTTGCGAGGCATCCGCTTGACCTGCACCTGTGCCAGGACTGAACCGAAATCAGCACATGGATCCTTACGAAGACCCCTGACAAAAGCCCCAATAAAACCAGAGAGTTTCAAACTTCATCAGGTGTTTACATGAAGGCGCACTAAAGCATATCTCAGTTCTATCAACGCGCCGGAAGGTTCAGTCCGCCCACACTGCAAAGGGCCCGATGCCAAACCTCAAACATTCCGGGACCCTCGACACTCCGTTAGGGCTCATAGGGTGCCCGTAATCCCGAACGTCCATAGTCATGTCGAAATCCTACCCTGGCAAAGCGGCAGTGTCTATCAAAGCCAGCAGATTCTGAATCAAACGGAGCAAGATGCGAAGGAAGCAATGTCAGAGGCATGGTAAGCGACACTGAAACCCATAACCATTATTGCAATCCAGTGTTGTGAACATCTTCGAAACCATTTCTTCAGCCACATGCGCTGCTACAGGTGGCTGGCTCGCATAACCCATGCAGGTAGGCTGATAGTGACTCTGAGCTCCATGCTGGTCGTCTTTGCAACGGAGCCCGCTTCCTCACCGGTGAAAGAGATGCCTGCAGGAAGCGGATCGACTGTCGGGTTTAGCATCTCGGAGGGGTGCTGGGGTCGAACAAGTGGTTGTCAGTGCTGCATGCTGCTAGCATGGTCAGCTTAACATGTACCCGCGAGACTTCAGAGAGGCATTTCGCAATATCTACTGGATCTACTGGCCTCCCCATCGAACCACGGACGGCTCGCATGTTCTGCGCTGCCGTAACACTGATGTAAGCCAGTTCTACATCATGCGCGTGAAAACGACTCTGCGCTAAAGAGCAACTGGAGCTGTGCTTGTCATTTGGATACGCTTCCGTTGCCGCAGTAGATTGTCATCTTGATGTATTATTGTTTTGCATGTATTAACCTGAAGCCCTAAACTTTGCCCTATACCTATACCCGAAGCTTAACGGCGGTTTGCCTTCTCTTCCTTGATGGGCTTCCTGGGCATCCGTTTGACCTGCACCTGCGAGAAGAGGCTCTGAGGACGGATGACGTAGGAACTGCAGTGCAACTAGGTAAACCCAACCTCGAAGCCTGAACCTGAATCCTTCGATCCTGAATGTGATGATGATGATGATGATGCTGACCCAGCGATGATGGTGATCATGACAACGATGACGTTGTTGGGCGTTGACTCTGTGGTTTTTGGAAACTCGAAGACTCGAGACAAACCTTGCCAGCTTACTTGAACATGCCGGGATCGATTTCTCAACGTGGGCCTTTGCAACAATGGTTCGGGTGTTGGTGGTGCTTTATGGTTTCACGCGTTGTGAGTAGAGATCTTTCAAGTTCTGCTCAATCAGCTTACGTAAGATCTCATCATGGGTTTAGCATTCAACGAGCCTGCCCACCCTGCAAATTCTGGATCTGCGTAATGCACACATCCAGTGGACTGTTGGCAGACAAGTTGAACACAGGAGCCTTCATCGCCAAGTCTCTACAATCTTCCAATCAGGATATCCCGAGGGCTCGGGTCATGAATCAGCTGTGCTAGAGCCCGGTCAACATGCAAATGACAAGTCTCGAGGCAACTCTACACCCGCCCCCATTTCAATCCTTCCTTCAAATCAAACCAGCTGCATTCCTTATCTCTGTACCCTTGTCAAGTTCAAGATAGACATGTAGGGTTTCGGGTTGAGGGCGGTGGGACAGGGACCTGCACGTTCAGTGCGCTACTGCTTCGGGTCGGGGATACTTGAATTCAGATGTTGCTCAGCGCACATCTGCCAGCAGTTAGAAGCGTACAGGCTCATGGGGTAAACGCTCTTCTTGTATTCAGCGCGATATACCGTGTAATATGCCCATCAATCTTCCACCCTACTGTACATGCTTAACCTGGTGCTTACAAGTTCTGCAAACTCAGAGGCTCTGTGCACTGCCATGTGCAGCTGGCCTTCTTTTCGACAGACTCTTCTTCTCTCTTTATTCGCACCTGCATCGCTGCCTCTAGTTCCGATGTAGATGCCCTCCTGGATTCAAAGCCTGCTACTCTGCTACTTGAAGCATGACACCATTTATTCGGATGCCGCAAGTTCTGTACTGCAGAGCCATAGACTAGACTGTCATTCGAGACATACTCACAGTCAGCAGGATGGTCCGGTCGACAATGTGGGGATGCTCCCATTTTGTTGAAGGATTGTCTTTGCACTGCCGGACAGGTTTCCTCTTGCAAGGCCTGAAAACCTTACACTTTACTGTCAATCTCGCCTTCTCGCGGGACTCGTCCTGTTCCTCCTTTGGCCTACGTGGCATCTTCTTCACCTGTCAGGAACTGTCGGGAGTGTGCTCCAGGGCTCCGGGGCATGTCTTCGCCGTGCTCCCTCGAAGCGTTGCCTTCATGACCCTAGTGATAGTGCAGGGGAGCTTCTACCAATTATCCTACCAATGAAAACGGAGACATAGGGTCCTCAATGCAGAGCAGCGCATCTTTTGCCTGACTCGGGTCTTCAGTTTTGGCAATGATCTGCAGCCCGGAAGACAGGACTGGGTTTACGGTTTGGGGATTTTCACGTTAAGCCGATTAAGATTGCAGGGTAAGTAGCTCGACAGTCATGTTTGGACAAAAAAGCCGTCAACTCGAACTTCCATCAGCTACAGACACAAGATACAACACAAGCAAACAACAGCGCCCCCCAAGGCCCTGCCCAGCACTCACCGCACTTGGAGACGGGGCCAAAGGAAAGGATGTCAACTGTCGTGCCGCACATCCTCACGAAGTAAAGCCGAAAAGCACTCCACAAACTCCGAAACCT